ACCGATGATCGACATCAACCACCTGCCTTCGTCGCTTTTTGAGTCTGCGTCACAGGTAGGACCGCCTAGAAGCGTAATAATATTCCCTTTCCCTCCTACTGCTTATTCGATTTCTCTCAAAATGGTATATCAGGAAACTTGCGCCTTCGCATTTGTGATTTCTTTGCATTTGCTTTTCTGTTTTTTTTTTTTTGTGATCCGCTTTTCATGATTCTTCTTCTCTACGGTTTCTTGATTCGTTACAGGAATCGTCCCAAGCCCCTGCGACTCCCGCAGCCAGCGACGGCTCGTGACCCGTCGTCTGCCAGAGCGTCAACATGTTTTTTTGCTCGCGACGCCGTCGCAGACGTGTCGCACGGTCTAGCCACCACGATAGCCGCTCGCGCACACCCTGCTCGGGCTCCTTCGTTCGCAAACCGTCAGCAACCAATCTCCTTCCAACGAGCCGTTGCGAATCGGCCACTGGAAAGCACGCACGCCAGCGACGTCGCGAATCGCTGGCAGTCACTCGAAGGAATGGCGAGAAACTACGAGCCTACTACTAACGCCGTTTCCGGCCCGCAGTCACCTGCTCCTAAGCCCTCCCTCCTCCGAAGCTTTCGTCATAAAGCCACGAGCCGGATGTCAGGTCCGGACATAAACGACTTAACCGTTGGGACATCACCTGATTCACACGCAATTCACATCCAGGATCAGAAATGTCGCAGCAGCTTTTTCAGCAGAAGCACAGGAAGAACACGGTCGGTCTACCAGTGGAGGTGCCTGGAGGAGGCGACGACGCTGCTGTGGTGCAGCACGACGGAATCGTGAAGACCTGCGCGCGTTGTGGCACGTCGAGAACTCCTCTCTGGAGAAACGACCCTCCCAGACCCAAGGTAGTTACGTTGTCCCGTTTTCCTTGCTAACTTGTTGATTTCCATGCATATTTCACTGGCAATGGCGTCAGAGTTTTCCCATTGCGGTCGTGGAAGGCACTAACTTTTGCTCCTCTTTCCCCCTCTCTCCTTTGCTGCAGTCACTATGCAATGCGTGCTGCATTCGGTTCAACAAGATCCACAGCGGCAAGCGAAAGGCATCCCCCAAGGAGGCAGCGATGTTGCGAGAGTACGAGACCGTCAACCCAGCGTTCGCCAAGCCTCTGCCCCAGTCACCTGTCCACAAAGCATGTACCAAGCCGCCTCACATCCTGCTAATCCTCTTGGTGACAATTTCGTGTCATGCACTGGAGGCATCCAGGCCGGTGCCGCTAGCAGCAATAGTGACGCTGGCAGTGAGGATGGCAGCCCACGGTCTCCGCTTGCCATGCTTCCGAATAATTTATGCCATGGCCTTACTGCCCCAGTAGAAGTTTCTGCTGCTCAGCGTTTCGCGTCGGTCGCCTCGTCCCTTATTACTACATCTTTTGCGCTTGCTGTGGCTGCTCCTGCTCCTGCTGCTGCTGCGTCTCCTGTGTATCTGGAGAATTGTCGCCCGTTCAAGAAGCAACACAAGGCATCTCCTACCATGCCTTAGGGTGCACAAGAGGATCGTTCTAGGGATGGTGATAGCACATGCGTGAGCTGGCAGTATGTGAGGACAGTGGCTACATTCCTGCCCTCATGGACCTGAATGAAGCCACTCCAGCAACAAGGGTCAGATGAAGGTGAAGTTTGTGAGGACTTGAAGCAGCTGCCTTCTGCCTGGTAAGGAGCAACGGGCAAGGAAAGGGGATGAAGATGATGTGGTAGCAGACCATTGTAACTTTGTGTATAAATTAGTGCTCCTTTTCATGTAAATAAGCTCATTTTCATGTATAAATTAGATGGTGATTGGTCCCTATCAATTTGGTTTATCCACGGAAGATCAATATTGATTTTGTTTCCGTGACTCTCAGCTCCACCGAACCCTCAGAATGTTTCAGGGTAAGACTTGTAGAGTGTGTTTGATCATAGTTTGTTTTTGTGAAACTACTAGTACATCGATATGAGAAGCAGTGACACAAAAACAGTAACAATTCTTATTATTCTGGGATGGTCTGGAGTTTGAAACGGGTATCGGAACAGAAATCCGGAACCCCAGCTGATGCACGCCAAACTCGCAGATGTGGCTTGGAAGCGTCCAAGTCGTTCCGACCATGTGGTTCCACGTAATCACTAGTCTCATCCTAGTCAGAGTACAACTGCTTCACCCAAGGACGACCGAAAGCGCGTCCGAGTGAGTGATGAATGGCCGGATTTTTCGGCAAATGATGTTTCTCTTTCCGCCAACCAGGCACCCCTTCGAGCTATGTCAATGGGCCAATTGAAGAGAGAATATGGATGAGTTTGGTTGATTGGATCAGGTAATGTCGTCATGCAGTCTGCCTTCCGTGCACAACCAGGTGATCACCCACTCGAAATCATGATTGCGTCAACAGCGAAGCAGGATTTTCGACCTCGACGATGTGCATGCCACAGTCGTATTGGTCACTCACGCGGCATGCCAAGGTCGTCCTTGAAAACGTGGATGGTATATTTGTTTTTGTGGGGAACGGGCACAACCCTTTGTGATCCGGTGTAAACCGATGAACCAGGCGTAGTAGTGTACAGAAAATGCTTCATCGACGTATCCACCTTTGGGATGGGCTGCCCTAACTTTCCTGTCAGGTCCCATGTCTCCAGCCCACCATTCCTCAGGTCGGCCATCAGATCCGTGACATTTCCCTCGTGACATACAGATCGGTTCCAAGACAGCCTTCGATCGTGTACAGCTCACATCCTGGCCGTCGAAGAAACAAGCATTCCTTGATCACGTCGACGTCGTCGAGTGGTCATTTGTGGATGGGTGGGACATTCAAGAATCGAGATGTTTTGCTTGCACTCCGTTGCATCGTATCAGGTCAGACTTTTGTGTCATCGCCTGTGGACTTGCGGTTTCTCTGCCAGGTCTTCAATTTCGTTTTCAGTTATCCTTTCATCCCTGCCTGTTATGCGGTTAGAATAGTTTTGTTTATCAGAATGATTTGCTCTAGCACCGCTGACCCAATTCGACTCCGGGAGGGGAACGATGGTTCACAGCAAAAAAACCCGCTCTTTGTATTGAAACTCGAAATGTTGGAAGGACAGCACCATACCAATGTGACTCGTAAGCAAAAGCACCACAGATGCCTGATTTTACTGTCCTCGAAAACACCCCATATTTGTAGGAAAATGCGGTCACAAGACCCTGATTACACAAGCATCGGTTGGTGCGTGGGCAAACCAGTATTGGTGTTGCGCTACAACAGTTCCATTGAACGAGTGCATGTGCGCAAATCCCCCTCGATTCCTCCCCTCTTCCTCGTGCGCTGCCCCCTCCACACCACCTCCACATCCCCTTTCCTAAAATTGCACAACGTTTCACACCCACTCTGCCCCTCCCCTCATCGCTCCGAATACAGTTTCATGGTCACATCACGGCAATCACCCTGTCCTGGTCTAATATCAGAGCCTTGGCCATTCACAACAGCGCCCAAGACATATCCTAAGAGATATTGGAATGCTGTCCTCGTATGACTCCCTTGTACGTGTAGTGCCGTGACCGCTCTGGAACCCCTCTGGGTCGACGCCTCTCTCACAAAGAAGACGGGTCATAATACACCTTTAAAAGGTTTTTCTCCCCGACCCCGCCTGTTTTGCTAAACCACAATTTTGGGCGCATAGAAACTCTGTTCCGTTAAGTGTTCAAGCTTTCTCTGATCCGCAATCGTTTCAGTTCATTTCCTGCCCGACAGGCAGGGCAGGGCATCCCTCCCACGTCACCTCCGTCCGTTTCGAACCAAAATCAGAAGGGTCTAGCCAAACCTGGTCCCTGATCTGGTCTGGTGATGCCTTTGTTTACGATTGGCCGATTAGTCCGTGTCAGCATGAATCAGCGAGTCACGCTGCATCAGTGCCGGGATGCTGAGTCACTCTCAGGTGAGGCTGACTAGCTCACAGCACAGCAGACTGGGATGGAGTGTCACGAGAGTCTGCTGCAGCAGGCAGAAGGACCTTCGGTATGAACCGAAGTGTTGGCGCTTTGGAGTAAGGAAACAACACGGGATAGCCGATAATGTGAAAACAAACTCTCACAGGTGTGACATTCGTAACGACAGTCTCCACAGTTTTTTAATCTCAACAATTTTCTCTGCTGACTTGGAGCCCGGATGAAACGACAAATAATGATCCAGAGAGATCCATGCATCCAATATGGAGTGGACACGCAAGCATCACCTCTGTTTAACTTTGTAAACAATACCGGTACTTTCGAACCAAACATAACTCTTCAAAGCAACTTCGCATGTTCACTGTGGTTGGGACGACACACAGCTGCATAGTCGGGACGACACAGGCATCAAGAAGGGACACGAGCTGCCCAGCACTAACGGTAATCGATTTCTCTACCGGTCCAAGTTCCCCCCAACGCTACTGCAGGCAACCACCACTTGTCCAGCTCGGCAGGCAGAAAGTTGTGCTAAAGACACTGAAGAATGGTACATTGCCTTACAGGCTGTCAAATAAAGGAAACACAAGTGTACTGTGATAGCCAGCAAACCAGCAATCCGCCAGCACGCGAAGAAAGCACGAAGGCAAAAATCGGTCCTCTGGGGGCATTTGAACAGCCGAGCCCGTTCATTGGGCAATGCTGCAGCAGACATCCCGATTTCCCTCTCCACTCCCCTTCTCACCTTGCCTAGGCGCGCCTGATCAAACCGACCTTATCCTTTCAAGACCCGTCTTCTGTTTCTTCATTTCCTTAGCCTTCTCTTGCCTTGATCATTCTCTCATTCCTGATCCCAGTAGCTTACTGAATCACCTGCCAGCAGCTCTAGAATAGCTTCTCGCGGTCCGATAATCGCGTCTTAGTCGATCCCGTCAATCCCCGATCCTCTACCCCCCGCGGCGCGCGTCTCGTGCACACCCGTTCCGTCTCTCTCCCCGTCTCTCGTCGATCTCGTTTTCATTCCCTTCATCCAAAATTCCGACATGCTGCATGTTCCGAGCTCGCATTCGCATCCCGCAATGGCTGGGAACTATAATCACGTCATGAAGAAGCCATGGAAAGGGCACAAGCCTCCTGCTCTCGAGTCATTCCCTTCGATCGAATCCTCGGATTCCGGACCTCCAGCGCTCGTTTCCTCCTCCATGAGCTTTCGTCACTTGCTTTCCCGGCCCCTGATCGAAGCGCCGTGCGATCCGTCGTATCCGCCGTCCGTTTCCGCTATTTCCAGAGCTCCTTTGATTTCCCATCGTCCGATTAGCGTCCATGTCTTTACGGAGGACGCGAGGGAGTACGGCTCGCATGCGCGACAGGGGATGTCGGCTGATGGGGGCTGTGTCCGTGCGACGCATGCGACATTTCAAAGCGACGGGGCGAGCGACGGAGCAAGCGACGTTTTCGCGTTTTCCGCACAACGGAAGTCCTCTCAACCGCTGATTGACATCAACCACCCGCCTTCTGCGCTCTATGACTCCACGTCACAGGTAAAGTCGCAGACAATCTTTTGTAACGTTTCCGTAACTCGATCAATGAAAAATCTCTACAGGAACTTACTTCGTCGCGTGCTTTTTTTCCTTTTTTCTTTCTTTTTCCCTTTTTCCTTTTCGTGATGCCTCTATATTCATGATCCCTTTTTCACTCTGCTATTTCCCTAATTTCCTACAGGATTCCTCCCAGGCCCCTGCGACTCCCGCGGCGAGCGACGGCTCTAAACCTGTCGTCTCCCACGGCGTCAACATGTTTTTCGTTCGCGATGACGTCGCAGACGCGTCGCACGGTCTCGCTACTGCGACAGCCGCTCGCACGCACCCTGCCCCCGTCCCCGTTAATGCCGTTTCTGGCCCGCGGCCCCCCGCTCCTAGATCCGCTATCCCTCACAGCCTTCGTCATAAAGCCGTTAGCCGGATGTCGGGTCCCTATGCGATCAAAGTGAATGCATCAGGATCGCATGAACCGCACAGCCATCAACAGCAGCAGCAGATGCCGCAGCTTTATCAGCAGAAGCCCCCTCGAAAATCGCCGTGCGTGCCTGAGATGGCGCAAGAGGATGTGACTGATGGCGACGAATCGCCCGATCGCTGGGACTCCAGCGAAGGCGACGACGCGGCTGCGACGCAGAGTAACGGAATCGCGAAGACCTGCGCGCACTGCGGCACGTCGAAAACGCCTCTATGGAGAAACGGCCCTCCTGGTCCCAAGGTAATCACATCATCCCTTTTTTTCGCATGAGGTGTAGACATGCAAATATTTTGGCTAACATGTTGACATTTTGAAATAATGGCCAGTTGCTAATTTTTGCTATGTCATTTTTTTCCTCTCTTGATTTCTGCAGTCACTGTGCAATGCATGTGGCATCCGGTTTAACAAGATCCGAAGTGGCAAGCGCAAGGCCTCCCCCCAGGAAGCAGCAATGCTGCGAGAATACGACTCCGCAGACCCGGCCTTCTCCAAGCCTCTGCCTCAATCGCCAGTACACAAAGCACGCTCCCGGCTTCCACGCCCTCGTGCTGGTCTCTTTGTTTACGCGCCTTCGTCATGCTGTGAAGGCCTTCCATCTGCTGCCACCAGCAGCAACAGTGACTGCGGCTACCCAGAAGGAGAAGGGCCAGAGGAAGGGGAAGTGTGCGATAATTCGAGAAGGGCGCATGTTGGAAAGAAAGTTTGTCTGAGGCACGAGGAGCAGCAACTTTGGAATAAAGTGGATGAAGATGATGTGGTGCTTGGAGCTGAGCTCCTTGTCTCACTGTTTGGCAGCTGCCCAGTGTAAATGCTGTGTGGGCAGGGTAGCCTAGCCTCTCAAGCAGGTACTGTCTGCTTGATTGTAAAATAATACCTGTACAGTTAGCTAGCTTCGCCCAAAGATGTAGATTGTATCGGTATCATGTAGTGAGGGCCCTTTGAAATAAAGCTCGAGGATCACAGAGATACTCCAGTGTCCAAGTGAGCTGTTATAACATAGAAATCCATGTTGGACTCCTTCCAAAGCCATCACAATTTACTTTTATATTCTCATTCCACAACCAGGTGCTCAAAATTTTGGATATGCGTACATAATGCGTAAGAAGAGCATGAGATAATTTTCAAGGTGTTTCTGTTCCCTTGTGGCGGATTTGAGGAGTTCGCTGGTTGCGTGTGGGGAGCAAGTACCACGTAGGTATGACGCATCCCTTAGACCTGCTTGCGTCATCCTGAACTTCTACAGGCAATCATTCCTCACCACGTAGGCGTGCATCCTCACCAGCCACTTGGTTCCAGCGCCAGTTCCGCTTGACCCATACGATCGCATGACCTGGAATGAGCCGAGACGCGTACTGTACTTTGCGCCGCGCCGCACCTACAATTTCTCCAGCCCCTCCACAATTCCCCTTCCCCAGCTTCACATGTCGAGGGGAAAATATCATGCCACGCACGGCTCTCTGCTGCGTCCACCACCTCCGTGTTTCGTGAAATTCGTGTTTTGTCATCCAGCCAACACAAACCAGTGACGATTTTCGTGGATATCTTGCGCGACCCCACTCTTCCCTTCCTGGTTCATGCGTCGTGAGAAAATCCACCAGCAAACCTTCATAGTTGTTTGAAGCACAAACAAAAAGGATGTTTCACAAGTTAGTAGCGACGCACGAGCTGAAACTGCAGTCGCCCTGCTGGCATACCAATTGTCTGCAGTGTCAGCCCTCTCACTCGAGTGTTTCCCACATTTCCATAGTCGCACGAAATCGAGCCTGCTTACGAGTCAGCAGCAATCTCCTAGAAGTGGCACTTCCTGGCACACTTACGTCTCGACATTCCGTCCTTTCCAGGCACGGCGTGCTGTCTCGGACAATATCGAACGCGACAATAGCAGACTCGCTACCGTTTCTCGTCAGACGTCATAGCAGAAAAGAGAGTCCACAGCCAGGCCTTCACTCGTACGCGATTCCATCCTCGTTACACACAGTCTCGTTAACTTCGACTACCGTTTTCCGTCACGATCTCACGAAGAACCTGAACGTCGCGACCCAGATATTGCGCCGAGTGTCGCGCACGGCGTATTCCGCGGGTAATTACCGGACGCGCCAAACCGAGATGAGGCTCTGTCGCATGGCATCATGCTCGCAGCCTTCACCACTCTCGTTCTCGTTCTCTCCAGTAGCTTTAATCGTTGCGACCCTCCTGCCTCTCTCCCTCATCTCCTCTTCGCATGCTCGAAGCATCCCACATCTTGGTATTTATTCGAGTTCTAGCGCGATAAGTGGGTTTTCTGCCCGCGCCGCTACCGACATAGTCGCTGAAAACAAGATTCTTGCCGGCCGGAGAGCCAAGGCCGTTAAATTTGACGAGCCGACAGAAGCCGACGCGGAATTCGAGTCCGCGAAACCTCCTGCGATAAACGACAAGCCGTTAATCGGCATTCTCTCGCAGCCGGGCGACGGCGATGGCGGAAAAGCGCCACGTGTCAACTTGAACCAGGCGGTTGACATGCCGTACGATGAGGGATCGTACGGTGGGGCGGAAGTCGGGCGACACAGGGCAGTTGACACGAACGTGTCGTACATTGCAGCGTCGTACGCGAAGTGGGTGGAGAGTGCGGGCGCGCGACCCGTTCCGCTGCTGTACGACGAACCGGTGGAGGTCCTTCGCCAGGTGCGCTTGCGAGCTCTGCGAATCGTACTTTCGCAATGCTACTTTCGCAAGGCCCGATTTCGACCATTTGGTGGGACAGGAAGGGGAAGAAGTCGACGGTTCTGCTTTAAACTCGCCGTGATTTGCTGTACGGCTAACAACCAGTAATCATTTTTCCGGTTTTCCTGTTGTGTTTCTCGATAATGTCACGTCCCCATATTAGAAATTCGATATGATCAACGGTCTGCTGATTCCCGGTGGCGGAACCGACCTGGTGCCGGGGCCCTTCATGTCGACAGTGCAGTTGCTTCTGGAGGTACAGTAGTTTTGATTGCAACGTAATTGCTCCACTGCCGGTTTCTTGATTGCCTTCGGTCGCAGCAATAACCTTTCGTAAAAGATGCCTTCACTTACAGCATGACCCTTCGGAATGCATGGGGTTCGAAGTTTTGAATGCCTTCGGTTACGGCAATGACCGTTTAAAATGACCGTTTCGAATCCAACCTTCTTCCCCCTGCAGTGGGCCAAGGAGGCGAACGATCGAGGCGACTTCTTCCCCGTGCAAGCCACGTGCATGGGATTCGAAGCCATGGCGACTGTTATTAGCGAGGTATGCTTGTAGCGGGTCAGATGTAGCGGGCAGCTGACGTTTTCATTCGTGGGCTGGAATCCGAATAACAGTCGGCATCAGCTCTGTTGTCGAGGCGCTTCGGAAAAAAACTTTCACCTCAGAATTCCACCTGACACGTCCCTGGTCTCTTTCCCTTTCCCTTCCCTCGTTCCCCTTCCCCAGTACAGCAATTTGTACGGTCGTCATTTCTGTTGACACGTCCCTTGCCTCTTTATTCTTTCCCTTCCCTCGTTTCCCTTCCCCAGTTCTCCTTCCCGCCTTCCGCATTCTTACCTCCTTCCCCGCTTCCTCCCAACCGTTTTGTCCACCCACATTCCCCCTCCCTCCACGTTCTTCCATCGTCGACCCGCATTGACCGGCATTGACTGGCATTGACCGGCATTGAGCATGATCCGCATTGAGCAGCATCGACCCACATTGGCTAGCATTGACCCGCATTGACCCGCATTGACCCGCATTGACCCGCATTGACCCGCGTTGTCCCCCATTCACCCGCATTGACCCTCACCCTTGCTGGCCCTCAGTGACTCTCATGGACCCACATTGACCCACATTGACTCTCGTTGACTTGCGTTAACCCGCATTGACTCTCAGGATCCGGACCTGCTGGAGCTGAGGCGGTTCAGCGCCTAAAATTCAAACCCTCATCCTTTAGTTGACTCTTCTCTCGTTGACTTGCGTTGACCCGCGTTGACTCTCAGGACCCAGACCTCCTGGAACTGAGGCGCTTCAGCGCGTTGGATTTGGCCTCTCCGCTCAAATTTGTGGGCAACTGGGTGCACCGCAGAAGCTACTTCTCCTGGTGAGGCCGCTTATAGCGAGTACAGTTCAAACATGCAACTGAGTGCATCGCATGAGCTGCTTCTCCCGTTGAGTATGCTTATAACGAGTAAGGTGGAAATTCCCCTTCGTCTCACCGTGGCCCCTCTCTTCCCCCCTCTCTCCGCGCCCCCCTCCATCCGCGCCCTTTCCCCCTTCTCGCTCAGGATGTCTCCGAATATGGCTGGAAAGGTGCAACAGCTCCCTCTCTCCTCGTCCCCCCTCGTTTCACCGCGCCTCCGCCCTTCCCCTCTCTTTCTCGCCCCTTGCTCTCAGGATGTCTCCTGATTTGGCTGGAAATTTGCAAGAGCTCCCTCTCTCCTCGTCCCCCCTCGTTTCACTGCGCGTCCACCCTTCCCCTCTCTCTCGCGCCCCTCTCTCTCAGGATGTCTCCGGATTTGGCTGGAAAGGTGCAACAGCTCAACCTCGTTTCCTTTCTCTTCACCGCCCGTTTTTCCCCCCTCTCTCCGCGCCCCCCTCCATCCGCGCCCTTTCCTCCTTCTCGCTCTCAGGATGTCTCCGGATTTGGCTGAAAAGGTGCAACAGCTCCCTCTCACCATGGAGAACCACCAGGTAGGTTCCGGTTTTGACTTTGTTTTCTTTGGTGCGTTTTTTTTTTTTTTTTTTTTTTTTTTTCACCATGTGTGATCCGATGACAATGCTCGTGACGATGTACCTTCACCCTCACCACCCCTTTTCAGCTCATCCTGCTCCCTGCTCCCCTTTGCACCTCCTCCCCCCCTCTCAGGGCGGCACCACGGTGCATCGCTTCCTCTCCAACAGCAGGCTCTGCTCCCTCTCTCCATTCCCCCCTTCTCGCCGTCTCCCGCATCCCCCTCTTCCAATTCTCCCCCTCAGGATGGCACCACGCTGCATCGCTTCCTCTCCAACACCAGGCTTAGGGACTACCTCTCCTAACCCCCCTCTCCTCTGTACTGTCCCCCTTTCCCTCCCCTCTCTCCCTCAGGATGGCACCACGCTGCATCGCTTCCTCTCAAACAGCAAGCTCAGGGATTTATTATTCGTTCTCACCACCTCATTCCTCCAAGTCCCCCATTCGCCTCCCTCCCACCTTCTCCCCCTCAGGATGGCACCACAGTGCATCGCTTCCTCTCCAGCAGCCAGCTCAGGGAACTATTCTTTGTGCTAACTGTCTCGTTCTATTCATCCTTCCCCTCGCCTGTCTCCCTCCTCTCCTCTCAGGATGGCACCACACTGCATCGCTTCCTCTCCAACGCCAGGCTAAGGGATTTCTTCTTCGTTCTCCCCCGCTCCCTCTCTCCCCATCCCCATCTTCCGTGCACCCCCGTTCCCCTACCCCCCCTCTCCACATTACCTCTCGCTCAGGATGGCACCACGGTGCATCGCTTCCTTTCCAGCAGCAAGCTAAGGGATTTCTTCTTTATTCTCACCACCTCGTTTGATAAAAACGGACTGGTATGGCGTGATTTTGTTTTTTCTCTCATATCATTATTACTGAAATCGTATGTAACCACTGTATTGAAGAACTTTTGATACCAATGATTCCGAATGCAATCTGGTTCTAATACTTCCAAAAGCGTCCCACTGCAAGCTGTATGCATCCTGCAGGGATAATTCTTGTGACTTTTGTTTCCTGCACATGTGTTGTAATGATTGACGTACTTATGTTCTGCTGTCTCCGTGTGCCCATCTGTGACTATAGGAGTATGTGACAACAGTGCAGGGAAAGCGGTACCCCTTTTATGGCACGCAGTGGCATCCAGAGGTGGGTTGTGGCATGCTGACGTGGATTGTTGCATGCTGATGTGGATTGTTGCATGCTGCACATGGTGCGACTGAGGCGCCTCAAGAATCGTCTCAGAGGTTGGTTGTGGCATGCAGCACATGGTGTGGCATGCAGCACATGGTGTGGCATGCAGCACATGGTGTGGCATGCAGCACATGGTGTGGCATGCAGCTCATGGTGTGGCATGCAGCACATGGTGTGGCTGTGCGTTTCCGTTCTCACATGCCCCGTGCAACAGACACCTTTTTGCTGTGCTTCGCATTCCTTTCTCCCCTCCCCTCCCCTCCCCTGCCCTCCCCTCCCCCAACAACAGAAGAATGCCTACGAGTGGGGGTTGGACCACATACCCCACGGAGCACACGCCATTGCCTTGCTTCTCATTCCTCCCTCCCTCCCCCCCTCCCCTTTGCTCCCCTCCCACCTCTTCACCAAACACACAGAAGAACGCGTATGAGTGGGGGTTGGACCACATACCCCACGGAGCACACGCCATTGCTTTGCTTCTCACTCCCTCCCTCCCCTCCCCTTTGCTCCCCTCCCACCTCTTCACCAAACACACAGAAGAACGCGTATGAGTGGGGGCTGGACCACATACCCCACGGAGCACACGCCATTGCTGTGGGCCAGGCAGCAGCCAACTTCTTTGTCAAGTATGCTGCTTATCGTCCCTTCAATAACACGCGCTACAGTCACACGCACTAGTCACACGCGCTGCAGTCACACGCGCTACAGTCACACGCGCTGCAGTCACACGCGCTACAGTCACACGCACTGCAGTCACGCGTGCTACAGTCACGCACGCTACAGTCACGCGCGCTACAGTCACTCGCGCGTTCAACTTGCTTACACATCTCCGCCCTCACATCTCCGTCCACTGTCTCACATCTACACCCCTTCTCCCTTATCGTCCCTCCCCTTTCCCCTCATGGCAGTGAGGCTCGGCGCAACACCCACCATCCTGCCTCGGACGAGAGCATGAACAACATGCTTCTCTACAACCACGCTCCTCCCATTCCTCCCCATTCCTCCCCATTCCTCCCCATACCTCCCCATGGCAGTGAGGCTCGGCGCAACACCCACCGTCCAACCTCGGACGAGAGCATGAACGACATGCTTCTCTACAACCAGGCTCCCGTGTTTCTCCCCATTTCACCCCATGGCAGTGAGGCGCGTCGCAACACCCAGCGTCCAGCCTCAGACGAGAGCATGAACAGCATGCTTCTCTACAACCACGCTCCTCCCATTTCTCCCCATTCCTCCCCATTCCCCCCCATTCCTCCCCATTCCCCCCCATTCCTCCCCATTCCTCCCCGTGGCAGTGAGGCTCGTCGCAACACCCACCGCCCTGCCTCAGACGAGAGCATGAACGACATGCTTCTCTACAACCAGGCTCCTCCCATTTCTCCCCATCCCTCCCATTCCCCCCCATTCCTCCCCTTTCCCCTCATCGCAGTGAGGCTCGTCGCAATACCCACCGTCCAACCTCGGACGAGAGCATGAACAACGTGCTTCTCTACAACCAGGCTCCCGTGTTTGCCGGCAAGAACGGGTGAGTTGTGGATGGAATATCTTGTTTGCAGAGAAAAATGGGTGAGTTGCCTACTACTTGTGGGCACCAATGGGTGAGTGACAGGCTGTCACCACTGAGCTGAGAGACGGAACGAACGACATGCGTCTGTACAACCACGCTCCCATGCTTGCCTAGTTGCTGGGGAGAATGGGTGACTGACAGGCTGTCACCGATGAGCTGAGGGAAGGGAATGCATGATTTGCTTCGTACGCTCTCAGGCAAAACGTCTTTGAAACGGATGTCAATATTTGTCCCCTTCTATTCCTTTCTTTTCTTTTCTTTTCCTTCATTGTAATGTTGCAGTCATGGGTATTTCGAGCAATCATATGTGTTTAGGAAAGCGTTTGGCTCTGATGCTGGTGTTACAACAGGATAAGAAGGTTGCTTTCACCCATTTATTAGCGACACATGTTTCTGTTAGCATGCCTAGGTTATAAATTCTTCTTATGCAATCTTTTGGATGCTCATGCTGGTGCTGCCTAGATCACATCATGAAGCACAAAGGGAGAAGGAGTAGTGGTGAGATTGGTTCAGGGGCTGGTGATTGCAGAGTTCTCATTGCATGTATTCTTCTCACCTTTATTTATCTGAACCAGTTTTTAGCATTACAACTAGCTACACATCAGTTTCACACTCACCGGTATTGTCCAGGTTTGAATCTCCCTACATGGAAGGTCAGGTCAGGACGAATTTGATGGGTGAGGTCCCATCCCACGGCTTATTGGACGAAAGTCCCATGGCTAGGATGGAGCAACTGTTCGCGCCACGGGAATCGTTCTCTGCAATTATTGGGTAGCTGGGCAGAAACTAGTACTGGTCTCACGTATCCATGTTTTTTTGTAGCGTAACCGTTGGACGAAAGTTGTAGACATTGCGTATAACCAGTTCTGGATGTGCAATGCTGTTGCACTATTAGAGACAGGGTGCATCAGCAGGTGAAGCATAACAGCACATGCTACAGTGGAGCACAGTAGTACATGGGATGGCGTTGCACCATTAACACATGGGACGATGGTCAAGAAGATACAGCTTAATATATTGAATAAATAAAGTCATACATCATTGCCAGCTTTATTTGCCTTGTGGGCAGCTGCTGCTAACAGCATGCAGCAAGCTAACGGCTCTCTAAGCAAGAGCACATACCCACTAGGCTTCATGCATATGCATGGCAGATGCCTCAAGAGAATCCCTCCATCCCCTCCCCTTCCAACATCCCCACTGCCCCAATTCTTGGGTAAGTAAAAGAACCCACCCGGGTGGTAGAAAAGCACAAGACAACCTCACAGATTCATGAAAAGGAGCTGTCTTCCTTACTGTGCAGGATCAACGATCCAGCCAGTCCCTGCTTTTCCAGGCCACAGAGTAGTAGCTTTACTCCAATGCCTGCTTGAGACCGTTGGGCCGCACATACATGATGCTGTTGCTGTTCCACAGCACAAACTCGAGCGCGTTATTAGCAGCCTCGGTAGGGTTATAGTCGTCCCACCACACGGACTTGGCCGGCTCGTCGCACACTGATGCGGTGTAGTTCTTGCCTCCCTCCTCCACGGTCTGCCCGCAAGAAATTCTCTCGCCCTTGGGGGTTTCGCCCTGGCAGCACGGAGTGAGCTTGCTGGTGAAAGCTGCAGGGCAGGAGCAAGGAAGAATCGCAAGGCATGGAAAAAGGGCAGATGAGTATTCAAGAAGCAAGGCACAGAAAGCCACAAGTGTGAGCATAAAAGGAGGAAGGAGGAGCAGAAACATCAGCAGCGAAGTCAAGGCATGGAAAATGCATGAGGTTTAATGCCATGGGGCATGGGGGGGAGCTTACCAGTTCCGTCCTTGAGCAGAAGATTGTCGAATCCGCTGGACATGCGGAACAGAATCAAATCCTTCACTCCCGCCGCCCGCAGCTTGTCCAGCTTCATCGACAGCGCCTGGTTGTGATCCGCCGCGATCTGATTGGCCGGCTCGTAGCACCCGGCCGACTCGCTCACAAGACCCTTAGCTAAGCGCACGGCGGGAATGCAGCCGAGAGGAGGCACGTCGTAAACAACAAACTTAGTGGCGCGCGTGGTTTTGAAGAGCAAGAGGATTGCCTCCACGATCGCGTTGGTGGTGGAGGAGACGAGGTCTGCTGCCGCCTTGTCGCCTCCGTCTCCTAGAATCGCGTCGAGATAGTCGTTGGTGCCGATGCTGATAACGAAGACCGCTGTGTTGAATTTCTGTGGAAAGGTATGGAAAGGTTCGGAGAGGGTGTGGTAGAGGAAAGGAACGGGAGAACGGGAGGAGGAGAAAGGTTCAAGAGTGGCAATGGCTGTGAAGTAGCAAAGACAGAGACTACACGGTCCGTGTAGCTGGGGTTAAAGACGGGAAAGTGCGGAGGTGAGGGGGCAAGGAACGGCAAGAGAAGGGAGGGGTAGTAAGAAGGGGGTAGCGGGGTTTAGAGAAGGGGCAGCAAAAGGGGTAGTAAAAGGTTCAACTCACCATTCCCCTGCGGTCGGCAGCGTACTGACTGAAGAACTCCAGCTGATGCTGCAAGCTCCACGTCTGGTTGCTGTTGATCCAGGGCTTGGTGCCGGCGCCTGCCGTGGCGAAGCTGGTGCCCTGCTTGGAGACGAGCGACTTGGTGATGTAAGGCATGAGGTAGTCGCTTCCCATATCCTCGGCTGGTGGAATGGAACGAGAAGGAAAGGGGAAAGCGAATTCTCAAATACCATCTAGGTCATCGGTGTCAAGTGATTCTGAAACCAGCGAATTTTAGTCGCTCCCCACGCAGTCCTCGGCTGCGACGAATGCGACGAATGCGACGAATGCGACGAATGCGGAGAGATGGAGGCACAGGAGTCGTTGGAGGAAGAAAGGAGGAAGACCGGCGACGTTCAAGGCGCGTCACTCACTAATGAGGTCGATCGTGAGTCGGCCGTTGCTGAACCGGCCGGGAGCTGCCTTGAAGCCGATGCCGTACGGCTCCATATCGGCCTTCCATCCGGCAGACTCGAGGTGGTTTGTCATGCCCGTATCGAGGTATTGGTCTCCCAACGCGAACACCTGTGGCGGTGCCACCGTGCTTTTGCTTGTAGAGGAGTTGCTTTTATCGGAGGTGCTTGTAGCGGAGCTGCTCTTCTTAGCGTCGTCGACTGTGGACGACGCGCTGGCGAAATGGATGGACAGAAGCGCGACGAGCGCGAGGGTGACTGTAGCGGAGGACTTCGCCATTGTGACAGTGGCTCTCTTTCAACGACAGGGTAAAATATTATTATATCGACAGGCTTCAAGTCTTTCGATCCGATATTGAAGTTGAATGTTCTGAAGCGGAGAGCAGTAGGATGAACTGCTGCAAGGCAGCGCGATGGAATATGAGATACTCAGTGCTGGTTGCGATGATATTATGAAGTTGAACCTGCAAGTGCTTTAGTAATACGGAGATGGTTGCTATTCCAAGTGAACTGGGTCAGTGGTCGCACTTGGGAAGGGTTGATCGTGGTCCGTGGACTCATGGGCAGCGGCAATGCGGTTCCCATGGCGGGACGCGCGATCGGAATTCGAGATGGGGAGGGCGCATTGGCATGGCAGCAGGGAAGGGCAGAGAGGTAGGGGTCGGAAAGGGAAAGGTGGGGCAAACTGGATGAATCTCGCTGCGCATTTGCCAGCTGCTCCAGGCAGAATTGTCATGCGATTCGAGTCGCCATGTGTCGAAAGGGTGGGCAAATTTGCGCACACCTGTGGGCGAAGTATGGGATGCGCTGGGCCAGGCGGCTCTAGCCAAGTAGTAATGTCGAGACGCAGAGATTGGCGAAATGGAAGATACAGGTTCGCGAACTGCACGAATCGAATAAGGGATTTGCAGGATAGAGTCGTCCACCTTGACGAACTATTGCGACTGTTAGCATGTTACATATCGCTGTTCAATTCAATATTGCGACGCTGGCTGGCTTTCGCAGAAATCCGTAATCAGTGAGGTGCCCATGGGCTCCCTAGGTGAAATGGGTTCGATGGCTTTACACTAATAAACCACTTAAACCCAAATGTACCACATCGAATATACCACTAACATAAATGAAAGGCTTAAAAGTACCACATATCTTTTACAGTATGGCTAGACAATATGTGCTTGATCTGATACAGCTTGATAGACATATGAACTGTTACAATCCCAAAGGGGACTTAGCGAAGGATCGCTCAGGGTTGATCGCAGAGTAGTGTTGCAGCGGAAGTTTGAATCTCAGGTCAGAGTGAATGTAAATGACTGAGTTGATAATAGCATGCATACATCGAGTTTATATAAGAGTACAGGGGAATACGAAAAGACCTAGACTAGCCATGTACTCTAAGGGGTACATTCCCTTATTACAACCGAGTTCAAACCGTGCGGCGCGAGAACCCGTTTCAAACCTGTTCCCGCTCATTTCACTTCAAATGTTTCTGCCAGCATCGGTCTTGGTCAGACGGTTGCTGCGTCGCTTCGACTCTTCTGACTCCTCGACTTCGTACTCGGTAGAGTCGGCTCCTGCAGCATACAGGAATGCCTTCTCATAAAGTTTCATATCGTAACACTCCCCTTCATTCCTGGACGCGGGTGGAGCTGACTCGCTTGACTACTCCGGTGAGGTCAGAGCAGTGCTTGTACTGCTGACGTGGCAGGCGCTTGGTGAGAAAGTCTGCTGCCATCTCAGTAGTCGGGCAGTAGGCGAGGTCCACCTTGCCTTGGTTGATTTCGTCCTTGACGAAAAAGTACCGAAGCGCGATGTGCTTCGTGCGGTTCACGAAACCTGGCTTGTTCGCGATCCTGATGGCACTCTGGTTGTCGCAGTGAAGGCGAAAGGTAGGCGAAGTTGGAATTTTCGCTTCCTGTAGCAGCTCCTGCAGGTACAGGCCTTCGCGAACTGCTGCTGTCGCGGCGATGTATTCTGCTTCAGCCGATGACAGGGCAACCAGCTCCTGCTTCTGCGAGTTCCAGGAGATTGGCCCAGTGGGTTCCAGGCGAAAGACGAAGCCGGTTCGGGACCGTCGATTTGCAGGATCAGATGCGTGATCTGCGTCCACGTAGCCGTTGAGGTTGAAGGAGGTCGTCGTCAGCGTGGAGTAGGAGAGCCCAATGTCAGGAGTGGAGATGAAGTACTGCAGGGCGCGCTCCAGGTCCAGCTGGTTCTCAGCTACTGGCTTGCGAGAGTACTGCGCCAGTTGGCTGGCGATGTACGAAAGGTCGGGTCGGCAGGTGACAGAGGCGAATAGCAGGCACCCCAACTTCTGCTGGTACATTTGGAGTCCTGCGGGCGACAGAGGTTTGTTGTCAGGTTTGTAGTTGGTGCTGGGGCTGCGGTAGGGGGTTGAGAGTGGTGCAGATGAGATGTTGAAGCGTTCCCCCAGTTGCTCTGCGTACTTGGAGGCTGACAGATGAATTGCTTCTGGCGTGTAAGTGATGTTTAACCCCAGGAACTGCTTTACTTCGAGGTTGATGGTGATGTCCACGCGCTGCGCCAGGTTCTCCTGAAACTGATCAAGAAGTTTGTTGCAGGTGCCCGTGTACAGCAGGTCGTCGACGTAGACTGTCAGGAGGATGTAATCGCCGTTGAAATGAAGGCGATACATTCCTGGGTCGTGTGGAAGCTGCTTGAAACCGATTTCGAGGAGAATTTTGTGCAGGTGCTGCTGCCAGAGACGAGGCGCCTGCTTGATCCCGTAGAGGGACTTCTTCAGTTGGCAGACCCTGGGGTCACCCTCTCCGTAGGTGTGCGGCTGTTCCACAAAGATGGTGGCGTCCACCAACGCGTATAAAAACGCGTTCTTTACGTCGATCTGTCGCAGTGGTAGGTGCTTCGCGGCGGCAATGGCGAGTAGAATCCGGACTGAGGTGTGGCGACTGACGGGAGCGAAAGTTTGATCGAAGTCTATGCCGTGGCGCTGATCGTACCCACGTACGACCCAGCGTGCCTTGAAACGCTCGATAGTGCCGTCGGCGTTAGTTTTCAGGCGAAAAACCCATTTCCCGCTGAGCACCCTCCTCCCCTTCACTGCTGCACGATCGACTAGGACCCAGGTGTCGCGAGATTCCAGTGCCTTGAGCTCCGCATCCATCGCAGCACGCCACTCCTTGGCGTGAGGGCCGGTTAGGGCCTGGCGAGGGTTCTTAGGCTCCACGGCCCGTGCGAGGGTAGAGACGGAGGTGTGGAGGCCGAGGAGTTGTAGGCCGGACACTGTGGTTGTGTCTGTGGTGGGGAGGACTTCCACCACGTCGTCGTCTCCGCTCTCATAGCCGGGTGCCGCGGTGCTTGGCTCTGCTCGGCGCCGTGATGGTCTTGGCGCGGGGTCGTCATCACTGTCATCGTCGTCGTCGTCGCGCGGGCGAGGTGGAATGCTGGGATGTTCGTCCGTGTCGTCGCGGTCCAGTGCTGCTGCTGCTTCTTCATCTTCCGGAGTCGCGAAGCTGCGACCGTGGTTGACGTAGCCACGTGCTTCGTTGCGGAGCTCGTCCTCGATCCACTGCTTCAGGGTGAGTCGCTCGTAGAAGAGGATATCGCGTGCAGGGACAACCTCCTTGTTGTCCATGTCGAGGATGAGCCAACCCTTGTGCTCATTGCTGAGACCCAAGTGAATACCCCAGCGTGCGCGATGAACGAACTTGCTGATTGTAGCCGAGGTCGGCCGGTATTGCACCATGCACCCCCAAACCCTCAGCATAGAGGGGTCTCCCCTTGAGCCGGTCCACTTCATGTGAGGGGACAGGTTGTCTCTGTTGGCGGTGGTGGAGAGGAGGTTGTGTAGGCGCACCGCGTGGTTCATGGCGTAGGGCCAAAACTTCTTGGGCAGGCCGGACTGGTTCATGAGGGCGCGGACCTTGGTCATGAGCGTGCGATTGACCCTCTCGGCGACGCCTTGCTGCTGATGGGCATAGGGGAGGGAAATCTCATGCTTAATCCCCTTCTCGGTGAGGACGCTCTCCAGCTCGTTGCTGCGAAATTCTTTTGCCCCATCACTCTGCCAGACCTTCAGTTTCCTCCCCGACTGTCGCTGCGCGTGCGCGAGGAAGATGCGGAACGCCTCCGGAGCTTTGGAGCGGGCATCTACGTTGGCGATCCACACGTGGCGTGAGTAGGCGTCGATGAAGGTGAGAGTATACTTCTTGCCGTTGATGCCGTCGTGGGTGAGTACGATGAAATCGCTGTAGACCTTCTCCAGCTTCTTGTAGCGGTTGGTGCTCGGCTCCAAGGAGGGGTAGGCGCTGTGGGTGAGCGCAGCAGTGGGACAGACTGTGCAGGTGATCGGATGGGGGGTGGTGTGCTGTAACTCCGTTCCATCGGGGCGCAGCAGTGCTCCTGGCGGGAAGACCTTAGCGCGGAGGCAGTTGGCGAGTGTCTGGCGCGAGGGATGACCCATGCGCTGGTGCCAGAGGTCGTCTTCGGCGCGAATGCCGGAGGTGCGCTTGTAGCGGGTGTGGTACTCCGCTGCCTCTTCCGCCGTGAGTTGCGGTATCTGGAGTGGGGGTTCTTCCTCTTCTCCTGGTTCTGCTTGGCTGGCCGGCTCCTCTGCTTCTGCTTCTGCCGTTGCCTCCCCTTCTGCAGGTGCTGTTGAGAGATACGGGGCGAGGAATTCGCGGTCAGGGATGATGGTGAGCGGGGTCGTGGTACCTTCGATGAAGCGAGCAAACGGATCTGGGCGAGAGATTGGACCAAGCGAATCCCGTAGAGGAGTTGGCGGTATGTTCCCCTCCTCAATCTCCGACCAACGATCGCGCCATCGAGGAGGCGAGGAAGGAGGTGAGCGGGTGCGCGGAGGATGTCCGAGTGGAATGGCGACGCGAGGGGATGGTTCTCCACGCTCAGCTTGCATTTCACGTTCCATCTCTTCTTCGTCTTCCTTTGTGATTGGCGCATCCACGTATTCATTTCCCCATCCGTCATCGTTGCCCCATCCTCCGGTTGTGACTGCGCCGCTGGCGCTAGCTCCCCATGCTCCAGTGGCGGATCCCCAGGTTGCTCCATTGCCTTCTTCTGGTACGTAATCCTCGTCTCCCCATGCACCACGACGTGCAGACTCTTCGTCCCATCCTGCCGCGACTCGCTCCTCATACAACTTTTGTTTCTTTTCCGCCCGGGCCCTGTCCTGTTCTTCCTTGACGCTCAGCTCCTCTGGTGCGTCAGGATCTTTCCAAGCTGGATCAATTTCGCGACGGTAGACCTCGCGGGTGTACGGGCGCGGACGTTCTTCTTCGTCGAGAGTGCGCGCGTTGGCTTCGAGGACGAACCGTAGGGTGTCCGAGTAAGGCCTTGGTCTTTCCTCTTGTTCTTGTCCAAATTTCTTGCTCGGCTCTCCGAAGATGCGGTGTGATGACACGGCTAGTTCTTCTTCAGTCATGCCTGCGATTTCTGCCTCGGCGCTTTCTGCTTCCTGAATTGCCGCTTGCTCTCTTTCAACTTGCTCCGTGCGGCTCGCGGTGGGCGTGTGGCAGGTGGTGCAAAGGCCGTTGATATCAGGGTCGTGCAGGTTGATCTCGCGGGGATGAGGACTGCGGCGAACCCAAGGTCGCCCGTCCGGGTGCTCCCAGGATTCCTTGTTCATGAAGGCAAACTCGAGAGGGACGAGATCCACGAGCTCGTCCGAAGACGCCTGACAGGGAGGGACGTCGAAGTCCAAGATGTAGATCCCGTTGATTGAGCGGGCTCGTCCGAGGTATTTGAACGACTCGGAGGGTGTGTCCGGGGGAGCGTAGGTGAGAATGAGGTCGCGCGTGGCAAGATCCGTGTGTATTATGACGCCACAGTCGCGGAGTTGTCCAGCCGAAAGCAGATTAAAGCGAAGATTCGGGACGTAGAGCACGTCGTTGAAGGAGATGTGAGTGTTGCTGTCCCGTGCCTGCAGGACGACAATGCCTTGTGAGTTGGCGCGCAACTGCTCGTTGTTGGCGACGGTAACGTAGGTTGGGGGGGCGCGGCTGAGGTTCGAGACATAGCGCGTGGATCCCACCATGTGTTGTCCGCAGCAGCTGTCCAGGTACCAGGTGTTGTAGTTGTCGGTGTTGTTTCGGCGCAGAAGGAGCGCCAATCGCGGAGTCACCAGAGTCGCCTTGTAGCGCCTGTGAAAGTGAGGGTCTTCGTCCTCCTTCCATCCCACCGGTACGTAGTGCTGGTTGTCGTGAGGCGGGCTCTCCCGCAGTGTGAGCGGCAGGTTCCAATCCTGCTCGTCTTCATCGTACCGATAATAGTGATCTTCAGTGAGGGGATTATTCCATCCCTCTTCTGGTTCAAAGAATCTTCCTTGAATCTCATCTTCCTCGTCAGGTTCATCGGTACGGCGGCGGCGCGTCGCCATGTTCGCGATGACGTTTCTGGGAGCTCCTGACTGAGGTCCCTGAGTTTGATGATGTTGATGTTGCTGTTGAGCAGGGGGGCGGGGTGTCTGATGCTGAGAATGACGAGCATCTTGTCGGCCGACCCAATTGTTTTGGTGAGTGGAATTTGGGTGGCGATTGTTGGATCGGGACTTGCATCGATCCGTTGAATGTCCGAAGACCTTGCATATTTTGCAATAGTGGCGCCTTGGTTGTCGTCGCTCTTCACGGTTGTCAGCGTAGAAGGCGAGGCGCTCTCGGCGCGGCGCGGAGCTTGTTCTGCTCGAGTCCATGTCCTGTTGTTCGGACAGGAGTGCGGCGCATAGCGCGGCTTCTGAAATTATCCCTCGCTGTCGGAGTAGCGCTTTACAGGGCTTCCACTCTGGCCCGAGTCCTTGGAGGACTATGTTGACGAAGATCTCTTCTGAGATTGTACTCCCATGCTTCGTGATCTGGTCACGGATGTTGCGACAGCGGTTAATGTACGGATTCGCTTTCTCCCCGTGCCCCATTTTTATCTCCAGGAGTTGCTGCAGAAGCCTGCTGGCGGTGACCGAATCCTTCGGCTGATAGACTTCAACAAGATGCTTCCAGGCTTCCAAGGCTGGAGCGTCGCTCTCTTTGTAGGAGCGGATGTTGAGTTGTTCCGCAGGCGTCATATTGCGTAGCAGCACACTGTAGGCCATGAGGGACTCACTGTAGTATTGAGCCCTGGCGACTTCGGTGTTTTCCACCGGTTTAGGATAGGAGCCGTCGAAGTAATGGTAGATCTGCGCCGTTTGTAGGAGGAGCTCAAGCTCAAAACTCCATGTATAAAAATCCTTGCCGTCAAACGCGGCAGTAGTCTTGATCTTTGAAACGCTAAGGAAGCGTGCTTGCGCAGAGTTGATAGCTTCATCACTTGGACGGGGGGCCGTTGTTGCTGATTTGTCTGTGTCGAGGGAGAAGGTGTGCGCGGCGGTATCACGGCTTTTCTCAGCCGGTTGTCCAGGTTGTGCTGGTTGGGAAGTGGTTCCCGCATCGCCCTTGCGCAGGTCTTGGAGTTCTTTCTCCATAGTTGAAAGTCGAGCGAAGAGTTGCTCGAGGGCGGCAGTGCCGATCGTGGTTGTCGCCTCATTTGTCGCAGCCGGGTTGGTTTGTCCTTCAGCCGTCAGATTTGCTTGGCCTCCGGATCCTCCGGCCATCTTGGTCTTGGAGCGTGTGCCGCTCGCCAGATCTTGGTTCGGCGAATTTCACGGAAGTGAAGTTGCGAAGAATCCCTGAGTAGCTCTCATACCATGTTACAATCCCAAAGGGGACTTAGCGAAGGATCGCTCAGGGTTGATCGCAGAGTAGTGTTGCAGCGGAAGTTTGAATCTCAGGTCAGAGTGAATGTAAATGACTGAGTTGATAATAGCATGCATACATCGAGTTTATATAAGAGAACAGGGGAATACGAAAAGACCTAGACTAGCCATGTACTCTAAGGGGTACATTCCCTTATTACAACCGAATTCAAACCGTGCGGCGCGGGAACCCGTTTCAAACCTGTTCCCGCTCATTTCACTTCAAATGTTTCTGCCAGCATCGGTCTTGGTCAGACGGTTGCTGCGTCGCTTCGACTCTTCTGACTCCTCGACTTCGTACTCGGTAGAGTCGGCTCCTGCAGCATACAGGAATGCCTTCTCATAAAGTTTCATATCGTAACATGAACGAAGGATATCAATATGCGAGATGTATCTACAGGGATCGCAATGCAGCTATGTGCTAGCATGTTCCGGCAGTAACCATTTAAAGAGCACCAGGCTTTTGCACTCCAGAAGATCCTACAACGCTTTTCATGTTTCTCTCTGCTATGTACAGGCGATCGAAGTGCAAAACCTGGAACAGGCAACAAGATAGTCAAATGTGTGAGATTCCACAAGCTGATTTGTCAGAACACTGGCAACTACAGATGGATCGGGACTCGGGTGCAAGCCGGTCAGGTGCAAGCTGGCGAGAGCTGGGCCAGCAGGTTAACAATGCAAGACACACGGGATGCATGTGACCTATCAGGTGCAATGAAGCAATGAAGCAAGGGTGTAAGGGAGCAGCAAGAGAGCAAGGATGCAAGGAAGCAAGAAAAGCAAGGAAGAAAGCTCACATACTTCCTACAAAGCTCACAGGAAGAAAGCTCACAGCCTACAAACAGCACTAAGCGGCACATGCGGAAATGGGTTCCGCGGAACCAAAGTGTAGATTGGGCAGATTGGGCACATTTGGGTAGACGGCTAGACTGGGTAAACTGGGTACTTTGGGTGCAAGTGGCATGCAACGCACCCAGGCAGGACGGCAGGACTTCGTAGAGCGAACGCGCGGGCAGACAGCAAGGAGGATACTCGAAGGCCTTTGATGACGATCGCCGTGAGGAGGGTAATGAGGGTGATGTGGATGAGGGTGATGAGGGTGATGAGGGTGATGAGGGTGATGCGAGGTGATGTGGCTGATGATTGAATGCAAGGAGAACGCAACTTACCCAAGCAGGACGGCAGGAACTCTCGTAAAGCGAACGCGCGGGCTGACAGCAAGGGGGGTACTCCAGGGCCTTTGCATGCGATCGCTGTGAGGAGGGTGCTGAGGGTGATGTGGATGATGTGGATGATGGTGGTAGTGTGCTGCCTGCTGCTGCTGCTTCTCCTGCTGGTTGCTCCCGTGGGGCAGCAGCAACAGAAGCCTCTGCCTCTATAGCTGGAGCTGCCGACTCCACGCATGCATAGAACGCATCCCGTGCCTGTGGGGAGAATAATGAGGGTAATGAGGGTGATGTGGGTGATGTGGATGATGGTGATAGTGTGCTGTTGGCCAGGCTGCCTGCTCTGCTGCTGCTTCTCCTGCCGGTTGCTCCCGTGGGGCAGCAGGAGCTGCAGCCTCTGCCTCTGCAGCTGGCGCTGCTGACTCCACGCATGCATAGAACGCATCCCGTGCCTGTGAGGACGGAGGGGGGGTGAGAAGAGAGGAATACGGGAAGCGAGGAGGAGAGGATTGAAATTTAAGGTAATATTGCGCAGCTGGTGCTGCTGCCTCCACGCATGCGTAGAACGCATCCCGAGCCTCTGAGGAGAGAGTGGGAGGACAAAGAAAGGGAACGTTGCAGAATGAGGCGTCGCTGCTGCTGCTGCTCCTGCTGCTGCTTCTCCGGCTGGTTGCTCCCGTGGGGCAGCAGGAGCTGCCGCCTCTGCCTCAGTAGCTGGTGCTGCCGACTCACACATGCATAGAACGCATCCCGCGCCTGCACGGATAGGGAGCGGGGTAGGGGGTTGAGGGGAGAAGAGTGAAGGTGGAGGGGCAGCGGGCCTTTGCCTCTGCAGCTGGTGCTGCTGCTTCCACGCATGCGTAGAACGCATCTCGCGCCTGCAGGGAGAGGGAGTGGGTTTGGAGAAGAGGGGGGAAGAGGGGGAGGGGGTGGTGGGATTAAGCCTAATTACATTGCACAGCTGGTGCTGCTGACTCCACACATGCATAGAACGCAACCCCTGCCTGCAGAACGGGGCGAAGGGAGGGGGGTGGGGGGTTTTGGGGGAGGAGTGGGGGAAATTGGGGGAATAGGGTTGACGCAAACGTAATATTGCACAACTGGTGCTGCTGCCGCCACACATCCAGTGGCAATCTGTGCCTGCAGGACAGGAGGTGGAGGGGGGGGGGTGGGGGAGGGGGGGGAGGAGAACACTTTTGGAGTCAATTTCTAAGCCATCTCGCACAGCTGCTGCAAATACTAATAACTACAAAAACAGCAACGACAATTGAAACACGCACTGCTACCGCATGCTGATTAGACGCATGCGGATAGCGCATCCCGCGCCAGGCGGACAGGAGGCGTACAATAGGGAGTTACCGCTGCAAGACCGGGGAGAGGAAAATTTGCAAATCGAATCGAATCACATCAGGCACAGCTGATGCTGCTGACTGCACGATGCGGATACTGCCTGAACGAATTTAATAGCAAACTCAATTGGCTTCTGGATGAAATATACGTGCCTTATAGCAACGGTCGCGCGCTGCAGATAATACGTCCGTTACCACCGCCGATCGCGGCGCTAGCGGCGGCGACGGGACAGGCCGCTCTGCGTCTGTCGTGGACGAGTTTTCCCCCATCCTATTAGCGTGATCACAGCGCCGGCCTTTTCGAGAAGTGCTATAACGAGGATATTGAAGCAGGATCGCTTGTACCCGAGAAGGCGAACAGGGAGCTGTTTACCGTAAAGGTGGAGATTTGAGAAGTCAGAGGTTCGCGCGAAAAGCCCCCAGTGTTCTAGGCGCGGTATTCTAGCTCTAGGCAATGTAGACGACAGATCGTACGCGTTTGACGGTAGAAAATCGTTTTGCAGCAACACTCTGATAAATGTGTTAGATACACAGAAACATAAACAGTTTTTCCATATGTATTTCTGTTCAACCGAAGTGACCCATCACAATGACTCCTTTATCGGATGTCGGCGGCTTCTTCCCACCATGCTTTGAAGTTTGTCCACATTCAGCCGCCAATCCACGTGGAATATTTTCGGTCGTATCGCAGGTGAATGAACAAATGCGCTGCGTGGCTCATGTGGGGACTGAGGAATGGCGGGTGGAGGGAAGTTTGCGTCAGCGTCCCCCAATTTCCAGAGAGGTTACACCACAGTTATGAAATGATTTCGAAACACACAGCACGGTAAGTGTTCATGAAATCGACGTTTTTGTTAGATTTTCACCTGAATACCCATCGCAAATGTCAGCGACTTTCGCATTTTCTACACTTTCACTCCAGAAGTAGACCGCCACTGCTATTTCTCGCACGTCGGGCAAAATGCTGGATGACAGTTGGTGGTTTCGAACCGGATCTGAAAGAAACACGTCCCTGGAGTCGCATCGCATCCGAAGCCCGCCATCTGCCAATAAACCTTGTCTTCCACCTGCACTCCCACCTCGCTGCCAGACCTACCCATCTGAAACCATCTGAAACCATCTGAAACCATCTGAAACCATCTGAAACAAACCTAACCTACCCGAAGTATTTCCTCTCTCCCTTCCGTACAGCCTTTCTCCTCTCTCCTTCGCTTGCTCCCCTACGCCAGCCTTATTTGAGAAACCATTCGAAGGAAAACTGCAGAGCTCTCTCTCAAAGTCGTTCTTTGACCTTGTAAGACGTGAACCATTACTCTAGAGAAAAAAACGCGCGCGGTGCTATACTGGCCCGACGCCTCGCTATACCCGCTGACGATAACCCAACGCTCTCCTACTCCATCACGCGTAGTTCTTGTAAGCCATAAATATATTCGAAGGGTTGCGCGACTCGCGCTGAAGGGACAGAGAGTGGCCGAAGAATCGCGTGGATCGCCAAGTTAATCAGGCTGCAAGCCTAGGATACATCAATACGTCAAGTAGCTTTCTGAGAATATACCCAGAATACGCCTGCGTATGCACCTGAGTTTAACCTGAGTGCATGCCTCAGAACAGAGCTGAGCGTATACTGCAAATAAAAGCCATGGGGCCGTTTCGCAGCAACAGCCGCCGCGTACCCGCCATCCTCGCGCTCGTTGCAATCACATTCGCGACGCTCGCCGCGTCGCAGGCGTTCGCGGGGAAGATCAGGCAGGTGTTTGCGTTCGGCGACCAGGCGTTCGACACGGGCATGAGTCGCTTCTTCAGCCAGTCCATCTGGAAGGCCACCGCGCCGCCTTACGGTCAAAATTGGGGCAAGGTATCGGGCCGCTTCAGCAACGGCCGTCTCGTCCTTGACTTTATCAGTGAGTGATTGTCGGATAGTGGTGACTGTCGCCAGCGCTCCGCACGGGTATGAGCCGCGTTTGACGCCGCAATCTTCGCCGCGACCTTCGCCGCAGGCTTCCCCGAGCCTCTCGCATGCCACCGCATGCGGGTCCTATCGACGCAACTCCCTTCCGTCGTTTCCCCACTTCCGCAATTTTCCCCCTTTCCGCCATTCCCCCCCCTTCCGCCATTTCCCCCTCTTCCCCATTTCCCCCTCTCCCCCCCTTTCCCCCCATCTCTCCCCCACCTCCAGCGTTCCGCCTGCCCGACCCCAATTTCCCCTCCCCCCTCCCCTTCCCCCTCCCCCACATTGCCCCTCCAGCGTTCCGCCTGGGTCTGCCGAGCCTCTTTGCGTATCATCGCAAGCCGCTCGTGTCGAAGCTCGTACGCGACTCACCACCATTCCCCTCATCCGCCATTCGTCCTCATCCCCCATGCCTCCCCGTCCCCCCACCGTTCCCCAATCCCCCCCATTCCGCTTAACAGCGTTTCGTCTGGGACTCCCGAGCCTCTTCGCGTACCATCGCAAGCCACTCGTGTCGAAGCAGGGAGCGAGCTTCTCGACTGCCGCGGCTGGCGCGCGTAACTGGGTGTATGCGGGGAAGGTGAGATTGAGAGTGTGACTGTAAGGAGGGAAGGGAGGGGGTAGCCTTGTGACTATAGCGAGGTAAAAGCAGGGAACGAGCTTCGCGACTGCCGCGGCTGACGCGCGAAGCTGGGTGCACGCTGGGAAGGTGCGTGTGAAAGTGTGACTGTAATTCGGGGGAGGGTGGTAGAGGTGTGTGACTATAAGGAGTACAAGGACAAGCCTTCACTCTTTTCCGCTCTCTCCCCTTCCTCCCCCTTCCCCCTATCTGGCCCTCTCCTCCCCCTCTCCGCACAACCACTCCAGACGCGACCCAGATAGCGTACATGCAGGAGTATAAGGACAAGCGCAAGAACAACCCAAGGCTTCATCACCGCTTTCCACTCCTTCTTATCCCCGCTACCACCTCCCCAACCACTCCAGACCCGCAGCCTGCAGACGCAAATAGCGTACATGCACGAGTACAAGGGCAAGCCGTCACCCTCTTCTCACCCCTTCTCACCCCTTTGCACCCCTTCCCATCCCCTCCTCTTGCAGTCGCGCAGCCTGCAGACGCAGATAGCGTACATGCAGGAGTGCAAGGTCAAACCTTCACTCCTCTCCGATCTTTCCCCCACCTTCTTCCTCCCCCTCTCCCCCCCCTCTCCCCCACTCTTCCCCCACTCTTCCCCCCTCTCTCCACAACTATTCCAGACCCGCAGTCTCCAAACTCAGATAGCGTACATGCAAGAGTAAAAGGACAAGCGCAAAAACAACCCGACGTTTCATCACCGCTTCTCACCCTTTCCCATCCCTTACCATCCCTTCCCACCCCTTCCCATCCTTTCCCTTGCAGACACGCAGCCTGCAGACCCAGATAGCGTACATGCAGGAGTACAAGGACAAGCGCAAGAACAACCCGCAAGTGGTGAGATGACACGCCAGGTGGCGAGATGAAACGGCAGGTGGTGAGATGAAACGGCAGGTGGCGAGATGAAACGGCAGATGGTGGGATGAAACGGCAGGTGGTGAGATGAAACGGCAGGTGGTGAGATGAAACGGCAGGTGGTGAGATGAAACGGAAGGTAGTGAGATGACACGCCAGTTAGTGATATGAAACGGTAGGCGGTGAGATGAAACTGCAGGTGGTGGGATGAAACGTCAGGTAGTGCAATGAGACGGCTGCTGGTGAGATGAAACGGCTGCTGGTGAGATGAAACGGCTGCTGGTGAGATGAAACGGCTGCTGGTGAGATGAAACGGCTGCTGGTGAGATGAAACGACTGCTGGTGAGATGAAACGACTGCTGGTGAGATGAAACGACCGCTGGTGAGATCAAACGGCAGGCGGTCAGATGAATACCCTTCCATACACTTCTATACCCTTACTCACCCCTCCCTTTCTTCTTTCCCAAATGCCTGACCAATCACTGATTCCGATCAGCATCAGCACCAACGACTACAAGTCAGCCATTCCCTTTTTCGGCCCTCATCCCCACTCTCTCCTATCCCTTTTGTTCCCCCCTCTCCCTCCCTCTCCCCCCACTCTCCCTCCCTCACCCCCCCCTTTCCCTCCCTCCACCCCTCCTTTCCTTTTTTACTCTGCCCAGATGCTCGACCAATCACTGATTATGATCAGTGCGGGAACCAACGACTATGTGTCGGCGATTCTCGGGCAGTCGGACGGGCAGAGCATGGAGCAGGTGCTGTCTGCAACGACAGGGGCGATAGTCAAGGCAGTACAGGTGAGTCAACGCGAGTCAATGGGGGTCAACGGGAGAAAACGGGAGTCCACGGGTGTCCATGCTAGTCAACGGGAGTCATTGCTGTAAACGGTGGTCAAGAGCAGTCGGACGGGCAGAGCATGGAGCAGGCGACGACAGAGGCAATAGTCGAAGGCAGTGAATGAGAGTCAATGGGAGTCAACGCGAGTCAATGGGAGTCAACGCGAGTCAATGGGAGTCAATGGGAGTCAGTGCCATCACCCCACCTCCCACCAATTCCCCCCCACCCCCTCTCCCTCCTCCCCAGGACCTCAACGCAATGACCAAGACCACCAAGATTGTGGTCTTCGACGTGCCTCCTCTCGGGTGCATCCCTGCCGTACGCTACTTCAAGAAAACCCCGGCGGGGCAGTGCGACGAGGCGAGCAACAAGATAGCAGACCAGCACAACACGGGCGTGAGGGCCAAGCTGGATAAGCTGAGGCAGGGGGGGGTGACCAACCTGATTCTCTTCAAACAGAGCACCGTGTTCCGAGTCAAGGCCACTGCTGCAGGTGGGTGTGTGTCTGGTTGTGTGCGGTTGTGTGCGGTTGTGTGCGGTTGTGTGCGGTTGTGTGTGGTTGTGTGTGGTTGTGTGCGGTTGTGTGCGGTTGTTGTGTGTGGTTGTGTGTGGTGTGCGGTTGTGTGTGGTTGTGTGTGGTTGTGTGCGATTGTGTGCGGTTGTGTGTGGTTGTGTGTGGTTGTGTGTGGTTGTGTGAATATGTGTGAAGCTGGATAGGCTGAGGCAGCAGGGGTTGGCGGACCTGATCATCTTCAAAGCAACCACTGCAGGTGTGTGTGTGTGTGTGTGTGGTATTGTGCGGTTGTATGCATGTGTGTGAGGCACTGTGACAAGGCACACAAATGTGTTGCGTACATGTGTTTGTGTATGCATATCAAGTATTCATGATATCTCCCTTGCCCTCCACCCCTCCCCCTTGCTCACCACCAGGTGGTTTCATTGACAAGACGTCGGTTTGCTGCGAGGGTAAAACACCCAGCGGAAAGATGATAGCCTGCGGGCAGACGCTGAAAGAGGGCGGCAAGAGCTACAGTGCAACAGTATGCAAGGACCCTACTAAGTACGTGTGGTGGGACTGGTACAATCCGACAGAGGCGTTTAATGAAGTGCTGTCGGGAATATTGTGGCACAGCAACAGTGTGTCGTATGTGTCCCCGTTTGGGCTCAAGTCTATAGTTGACAAGTAGAGGAGAGTGATAAGAGGTCGAACACTACGCCAGACCCATAGCATTTGATGTCACTTGCATGTAAATTGGACACTTTTGATAAAGATGACATGGTAGATAGTAGCTTCTGAAACTTCTACTAATTATATATGTAATAATATATCTTGCCTTTTTGGTGGGCCTGAAAGGGTTTGTGAAGTGTGATGCCGATTTATTATAGATAAGCACATAGTAGTACACACACACAGACACACCCATTCCCCCATCTCGTTTTTTCCTCTGGCCGGCACCCACCTCGTTCCGTTCCCATCCCATGCCTGGCAGGCAGAATAGCCTGCTAGCAGCCCAAGATAGTGGGAACCAATCAAATTCGCCTTGTCTCGCCGAGGTGTACAGAAACTGCCGCCACAACACACAACTGGAAGAAACAACAAAAGCCGCCATTGGGCTTGCCTTGCCTGGACAGAGCCGCAACGGGAAGGGTACAGAAACCGAACCACTGTGGTTCCGCTCCGAACAAACCGAAACTACTCACGTTTTGTCAAGACACGAAATTCAGGATTTCACCATCCAAGGACCATATGCGCCGTGCATATAGTGTATTCAACCGACGAGCACCTCGCCGAAACGATGCTATGGGATTTCATTGCAAGACTGTCAGACTGATGATGCACTGAGGGTCATGTCTCCATTTTTTGTGTCTAGGCTGAGAGCGCCTTTGCTCTCAGCCTTCGACCCACGGAAACGCTCTGTCCGTCAACTGCTTCACGTGTATTTGTTACCGTTCGTTAGGGTTTGGAGAGGGAATATCATGCACGCGAGCATGATATTCAGCCTCGAAGTTCGGCATAGGTCCGAATT